CATATGTAGAGGTGGAGAGTTAGCTCAGTTGGTTAGACCACTGGATGTCACTCCCGAGGTCCCAGGTTCGATCCTGAGTAACACCCTTGGGATTTTTCAGAGACACTGTCAGTGTTTCCCACCTAACCGGATGTGTACTGGTAAGAAGCCCAGGTAATCCTCGCATGTATCAGTGCTATACACTGGGCATGTAAAAGAATCAAAGGGTCTTTTCAATAAGAGCTAGGGACTGGTTCCCGCGGATTCCCTTGTATCTCATAGCTTTCTCTCTGAAGTGACTAGTCTAGAGTCATTTCTACTAAATCGGCCTACGAAGCTCAGCTTAGCAACCTTTATAATGTTCTGGCCTGAGCACTACATTACACTACATTACATTACATATTTAACTATTTACTTTGGTTTAGCTAGATTTATCTCGCCTTGTAGCATACATGTATCCATGGGACAGGATTAACGCTTTACTTACAGGCCAAAACGTGTCTTCAAACAAGATAGCCCCTCTTTTCAGTGAAATATACTGTTGATCACAGGACTCACATACACTTAATAAAAATCTTATTATGCTAGTGAAAAATCCATGTCCTCCCTAGAAAACAATGTTTTCTGTAAATATTGATTATGATTTGTGATCATTTTTAGTTTGACATATATAATATTAAATATTTTTTCCAATTTTTTGCAGAAAAGAACACATTGTTGTTTACAATTGTAATTCATTGTTTGCTATGTGATGAAGTTTGATAAATGAAATTTAGATATTTCAACTCTCTGTGTGATAATGTATTTAGATATTTCAACTCTCTGTGTGATAATGTATTTAGATATTTCAACTCTCTGTGTGATAATGTATTTAGATATTTCAACTCTCTGTGTGATAATGTATTTAGATATGTAAAATGAGGGACGTATAATGTTTTATTTCTGAATAAAGTATAAATTATTGTTATATAATCCATTAAAAAAAAAAAAAAAACTAAATTTGTGTGTAACATGCCTTGATTTTCCCAAGGAATTTTCTATCAGGCTGAAATGACCTCTTATATTGTTGTTCTTTCTGGTCATTCTACTTTTTAATTGGGCATTTTGTAATTTTACCCTTTCATGACCAGAGCTTAGATATTATAATTATTTACAGGTAATTAGCCAGGGGTATATTCTAGTAATTACAGGGATTAATTCTATTTTTAAATGAATGCTTATATAAAATGTATACCTTCAGTTTTGTAGAAAAGAAAAAATCAAAGCTTTTATCTTAAAATCAAATTAAAATTTTCACAAAATTATATAAAAAGGTCAATAATAAGATATCATATTTCATTTAATTATTTCTATAAATAGCAAAAAAAAACTACCCAGTTTGTAAGAAATTTGACTTATATATCAACCTGTAAAAAAGTATTTCATTTTATTTCAATGATGAACTGCCTAGAGTAAATACAAAGTTTCATTTTTTGTTTCATTGATTAACTGACATGTTTGTTTTTGTTTCAATGACAAATTGCCATGAGTAAATATAGTATTTCATTTTTGTTTCATTTTTGTTTAAACTTAAATGAATAAATATAGTGTAGGGTCATAATGACCTTATACTTGTATATAAAGAACTGAGCCCAGGGACCCTTTGATAGGGTAATTTCACATTGTTTTGCTGAAAAGAGGAATTTTATCTTTCAACATCAATAAAGTTCAGTTTTACATATTTAATGTTGTAAAAAGCAAATTTCAATAAGATACTTTTAAGGGTTTTATGCTTTTCGCAGGTAAGAATTTTAAAAAATAAGTAAATGAAGAAAAAATAAAATGAAAGAGGGGGAAAATATATATTCATTTGTGAGTGAATAAGTAGTTTGATCTGTTTCATTGATTAATTTCCATGAGTGAATAATCATTTCTTTGATTCACTGATAACTGTCATGAGTGAATACACTGTTTCATTTTGATTCTCTGATAAACTGCCATGAGTGAAAATGGCAGTTTGTTTTGTTTCAATGATACACTGCAATGAGCTAGTACCGTAATTACAGATTTTTAATTATGTTTCAATGATGAAATGCCATAAGTGATAATTACTACAGTAGAACTTCTATGAGTCGAACTTCAATAAGTCGATTTTCTCGATGTGTCGAAGTAAAATGAAAGTCCCGATTTTTCCCTTATATATTCCTTATAAAAACCTATATCTATGAGTCGAGATTTTATGTTTTCAAGTTTTTTCGATGTGTCGAAGTTTTTTTCGTGGTCCGTATGGAATTAATCTAGTACAATTTACCACAAATAAGTCGAAGATATTCGGTTATTTTGACACCTTCGATCTCGAGACATTTTCACACCTTTTCTGGCCGCGAAAGACGATTTCCGATCAACTTTACTGACAGGTGTAAATTACACATCCGAGTGTTCAAACAGCTTTTTGTATGCGTTTAAATGTGTGAAAAAATGCTTTAATTATTACTATTTTAATTGCCGTAGCAGTATTTGAAAGAACATGTAAACAGTAAGAAATATCATTTGAGTACTTCCGTGACCTGGTGTCGCGTAATAATCACACGCCAAATATTTACTTTAAGCTGGTTTAGTTATTGCCCTTTCGTATTGTTACGCCTTTTGTAACTTCATTGTTTACGTCAAAACAGGGAGTCCAAATCATTAGCCGTGAAAAGTTAAAATGTCATATTTATCATTGTATAATGTAAATATCAGATTAATGAACGAAAGAAAAACACGAGATAGGTTATGTTAAAGATCTTATAATTAGGGCTAGTCACGGGTTGAATTTTTGTTATGAAGTATTTTTGAAGACCGATTCATGAGTCGAAGTCCCGATGTGTCGAAGTTTTTACGCAAGTCCTCCAACTTTGACTTACCGAAGTTCTACTGTATTTCATTTAATTACCGGGTTTCGGCAATGCTGCACACAAGTCCTCTACAGTTAGATGAGTAAACAAAATTCAATCTGATAGAATGAAAAAAAAATAGAACAAAGAGATAATGTATGAATATTTATTAATCATTTTATTAACCATTTGATGATTTGCAATTTTTATGTAGCCACATGTTTATTTGTTCAAGGAGTTTGAGGATTATTAATATAGACAGGAAGTAAGAAATGAAGTGTTCATTGTTAATTTGTCATGTTATTATACATACAATATGCAAAAAATCTATATAAAAAGCTGATTAAGTTAAATTGTCAAATTCTTTTATACATATGAAGGACAGTACTAGTAAAGCACCAAAATTTACAAGAATTTTATCAGGTTTTCATGAAGATGATAAAATTATGAGATATTTATCTTATCTTAGGTATAAAATATATTGGAAATAAGCCCTTATATGGCAGCCAGGGGATCTAATAAATGAAATGTGAAAAGTTAAAGAGAGTTTAGCTAAATATTTTAAAGAGTTAAGCTGTATATTTCAAAGATTTTAGCTATAGATTTAATAGAGTATAGCAATTGAATGAAAAAAAAAGAGTTAAGCTATAGGTTAAATAGAAATTTAGGTATGGATTTAAAGAGATTTAAAAGAGCTTAACTATATATTTAAGAGTTAAGCTATAGATTTAATAGTGTATACATGTAGCTAAAGATTTAAAAGAGTTAAGCTATAGGTTTAAACGAGTTTAGCTATATGTTTAAAAGAGTTCAGCTATAGATTTAATAGTGTATATCTATAGATTGAAAAGAGTTAAGCTATAGATTCAAGAGTTTAGCTATAGATTTAAATAAGAGTTCAGCTATAGATTTAAATAAGAGTTCAGCTATAGATTTAAAAGAGAGTTTAGCTATAAATTTAAAAGATTTTGGCCATAGATTAAAATGCGTTTAGCTATTATGAGATTTAAGAGAGATTAATTTAGCTATAGATTTAGAAGAGAGCTTAGCTATGGATTTAAAAGAGAGGTTAGCTATAGATTTTTAAAAACGCTAGCTATAGATTTGAAGGTAAAAAAGACCTTTTTTTTGATTTTCCGAACTTGGCAATATGTACTAATGTAAAACTAAATTTTGTGGACAGAAATAAAGCACTTTTGATATCATTAAGAAAACAAACATGTCCAATATCAGTCAAAAGTTAACACAGATTCAAAAGCAAATGAGACAGTGCGAAAATCAAAAAACAAATTGCAAATAAAATGGAAGAACAATTTCCACAAACAGAATTTCAATGGCAAAATATTTACAAAAACTTTTTGTATACTGCAAAGAAATATTTTTACAAAACTTTCAACAATTTAATGTTTTACATAGGAACATTGCAACAACAAGTTTCTCCTTCAATGTAAAATTAACAGAATTTAGTCTCTGTGATTTTTGCTGTATGGATTCTAAAATTATAGAGCATCTTTTTTGTGAGTGGCAATGTGCAATTGCAAATATTCTGGAGTAATCTATTCAAACAATGGTTTAAACGAAATAGCAATATTTAAAATGTAACATATGACAATTTTTACATCTGTCTTTCATGCTAAAGGTAAGAAAACATCATATATTTTCCTCTTCTCAAAATACTTCGTATATACCAGAAAAATAAAAAATTAAAGAAACAAACTCCAGACATTAATATCTTCAAAAGGAAGTTTTAAAACAGATTAAAATAGAAAGACCTGTTACATTACACACAATTATACATAAGAAGACCTTGAAAATTGCTGGATAAATGTAATTGATTGTTTGGTATCTTAATAAAATCCATACAGAGAAATTTTTTCCCCACTTTCTCTGCCCCTTTTCTTGTGTACTGGTAATTATATAAATAAATGAACCTCTTAACTTTATAAAATATCTTATATTTTCAAAAAAGACATATATTTTTATCAATTATCTATCAATGTAAATTCTATAGTTATCTTGTTTATATTGTAGTCTTTTCATGTTTCATGTTTTCATGTATACTTTTCTTGAAATACAGGGGCCTTAACATGGTTCCAAAAAAAGAAAAAAAAAAAAAAATTATAATAAAAAAAATATATAAATATATATTAATTCTATAGTCACACTTTGCCTGCCTTATTATTACTCTGAAAGAAATTTTTTGAATGACCACATATATATAGTGTAAATGTCTGCGCGATATTCACAAAGTTTGAAGAATTGGAATCAATACATACATGTATATATGTATGTATGAGGCACTATATAATGTCAGGTAGCATTTGCAATTGACAAGGTATATATGGAATAAGTCAACCTGACAGTGATTCCACTATGCATGTGTGCAGTCTTTTTTCTTGATAAGCTATCGCAAGAAATATTTCTTTAAAGTTTACATAACAAAATACTACAAACATATTATTTTATAAACTTTATAACTGTGATAATATCTCAGTTTGTCATCTTAACGGAATTTCATTTCTACTTTTTTCAAACTGTAGCTATTATTCTTCCAATACCGCCAGTTAATTCCAGTATAATCCATTTTGCCAGGCTGGTTATAATACTGTCCATTAAGATTGGAATAGTGGCAACTCTTATACCACCATGCACCATGCCAACTTTTCGCACAATTGTCTGAGGCTGTATCCTGATCTCTATCATATGTTGAGAACATCATTCCATTATGATAATCAAGAGAATCTCCAGCAGTTCCACTGTATCCACTCACCTCCAGTTTGTAATTGTCTTCTTCTTGATATACCTTGAACTTACTATACTTGGCATATGCACTGTTTCCCTCAAAATCTTCCATATCTATTCTCAGCTCATGTCTGCCATCTGATGTCAGTAGACTCAAATGTTCATTGCCGAGCCAGAACTCGCCATTCAGATCACCAAAGCCGTTTTTATGCTCATTCCAGTTTCGATAAAAATCTGTTGTACCATTTAGTCTTCTTTGAAATACTACCCAGCCCCCACCGTCTGTAGTTTGGTCACAATAAATTTCCAAACCTTTTCGATGATTGTAAATTTTATTTTCCTTCTGATTAATTGTTCTTAACAAACGACAGAGGGAACTCCAGAATGAGTAACCACTGTGCATTAATGAAACAGTAACAAGTGTTTCAATGTTATCAATTTGTTTAGATATTTTCATATAATTTTCTGTGTTTAGTTGTACTTGTTCAGCCATACTTTTAGACGCTTTAATTTCAGGCGTTAATATGTCTTCGTGCACATTTTGGACCTTTTCAAAATTAGTGAGTAATTGATCAGTGTTATTAACAGCAATTTCACAATAATCTATAACATTTTGTTTAGGGATATCAAATTGTTTTCAATCTTTGGAATTTCCCGTTGAATTCTTACAATTTCAGTTTTTTCCTTGGTGAAGGCTGCCCTAAGTCTAGTGAAATCCTCTTTCAATGTATCCACTGTTTTAAAATCAATGTCACCAGCTTTTGATGCAACTGAAGAAACAGGCCGATCTTTTCCAATTGTAGCATTTAACACTTTATCTATGTCATCCAGTCGTCCTGTAATTTCAGCAATATCTTCATCTCTAAACGTAAACTCGGTATTAAGTCTAGTTTCTAAATGTTTTACCCTTAACTTTAGACGATCAAATTCGTTTGCTGAACTCGTCAAAGCAAATACACTGAAGAGAATGACTGTTACTTTACCAAACAACTGCATATTTATATGTAAATATTTCTTGAAGCTGGTACAAAATATTTGCCCATATCAGTTTAGAATAATTTGAAAACAACTTGAAACAATCCGATTCCTTTATTCTTAAGAACAAAATTTTATCCCATTCGTTCACTATTCTTTCAGTTTATGATGATAAATTTTCTCTCGATCGAAAGAATGTATTGTTTATACATTAATTTAAAATAACTACTTAAATGCTCTTATTCTTAAGAGGTTGTGAACTGTTCTCTTGCCTGTCAAAAGAAACAAATACAAGACGCATTGAAATGAAATGGCACCAGTTATTTTTTCCTCAAGTGTTTTAAGGAGAGATACTTGATACATTGTACCATTACATCATTAAATCTAATCATAATAATGTCAAGTATACATACAATTAGTAATTTTCCCAAACAAGTTTCACATGTTGTTTTGAATGTAATCTAAAATTTATTTCCGGTACAATAGTAGGACAAAAGTATTCAAATGCACGTGCCAGAATGTACATTATTTGAAAGCTGCCTCCTGATAAATAAATAAACTTAAGAATCTTTTCTCAGTTTATGTATTATTATAAATTATTTCTTTTTTTTTCTTTATTTCAACATATTAGATGTAGCAATAAATGGCTGACTGCGATTGGTTTTTTTTTTTGAAACCTTAATATAGAATAGTAAAAAAGAGTTTAAAACATATGATTTTATATACATGTATTAGAATGAACGACAAGAATGTCAAAGTAGTCAAGCAGAATGATAAAACTGAATTTGTAGGATCTATTGCATAATACTTATTTTGACTGCATATATAGAGGTTGCGAGTTAGCTCAGTTGGTTAGACCACTGGATGTCACTCTCGAGGTCCCACGTTTAATCCTGAGTAACACCCTTGGGTTTTTTCAGAGACACTTTCAGTGTTTCCCACCTAACCAGAGGTGTACTGGTAAGAAGCCCAGGTAATCCTCCCATGTATCAGTGCTATTCACTGGGCATGTAAAAGAATCAAAGGGTCTTTTCAATAAGAGCTAGGGACTGGTTCCCAGATTCCCTTGTATCTCATAGCTTTCTCTCTGAAGTGACAAGTCTAGAGTCATGTCTACCAAATCTGCCTAAGAAGCTCAGCTTAGCATTCTTGATGATTTTCTGGCCTGAGTACTACATTACATTACATTACATTAATTTACATTACTTTACATTACATATTTAACTATTTACTTGGGTTTAGCTAAATTAATCTCGCCTTGAAGCATAAGTGTATACATGGGACAGGATTAACTTGAGGACGAAAGATCTATTTCCTTACAGGCCTATTTACTCTATTTTTCCACCAGACTTACATTGTAAAAAATGGCCAAAAATACCTTAAATTCAGAATTTGTTTTTAAAGCTACATGCCTCCAGATGAGTCAAAATATCTCAATAAAAACAAACTTGAGAAAAATGTACTAGGTTTTAGGAATAGTGAAAGGATACAAGATTCAAGTAATATTTTATATTTTATGTGCCATTAATGACTGATTTTTCAGTATTTACAACTATATTTCTATTGCGTTACTAACGCAGTTAGGGCTATTCATGTATATTTTGACCACTTTTTGGTAATTAACATGGGTTGTAAGCGCCATTGATAATGTGTGTATTGCTTTTTAGCTCACCTGAGCATGTTCAGGGTGAGCTTTTAGGATCGATGATTGTCCGTTGTCCGTCCGTTCACATTTTGTTGTTAACACTCTAGCGGTCGCATTTTTGCCTCAATCATCATCAAACTTGGTCAGGATGCTTATCTAGTTGATAGCTCGGATGAGTTCGAACATGGGTCATCTCGGATGAAAAACTAGGTCACAAGAGCTAAAAATAGAAAAACCTTGTTAACACTCTAGAGGTCACATTTTTGCCTCAATCATCATCAAACTTAGTCAGGATGTTTGTCTAGGTGATAGCTTGGATGAGTTCGAACATGGGTCATCTCGGATGAAAAAGTAGGTCACCGGAGCTAAAAATAGAGAAACCTTGTTAACACTCTAGCGGTCACATTTTTGCCTCAATCATCATCAAACTTGGTCAGGATGCTTGTCTAGGTGATAGCTCGGATGAGTTCGAACATGGGTCATCTCGGATGAAAAGGTAGGTGACTGGCGCTAAAAATAGAAAAACCTTGTTAACACTCCAGCGGTCACATTTTTGCCTTAATCATCATCAAACTTAATCAGGATGCTTATCTAGTTGATAGCTTGGATGAGTTCGAACATGGGTCATCTCGGATGAAAAACTAGGTCACTGGAGCTAAAAATAGAAAAACCTTGTTAACACTCCAGCGGTCACATTTTTGCCTTAATCATCATCAAACTTAATCAGGATGCTTATCTAGTTGATAGCTTGGATGAGTTCGAACATGGGTCATCTCGGATGAAAAACTAGGTCACAAGAGCTAAAAATAGAAAAACCTTGTTAACACTCCAGCGGTCACAATTTTGCCTCAATTATCATCAAACTTGGTCAGGATGTTTGTCTAGGTGATAGCTTGGATGAGTTCGAACATGGGTCATCTCGGATGAAAAAGTAGGTCACCGAAGATAAAAGTAGAAAAAAAACCTTGTTAACACTCTAGAGGTCACAATTTTGCCTCAATCATCATCAAAACTTGGTCAGGATGTTTGTCTAGGTGTCTAAGGTGATAGCTTGGATGAGTTTCGAACATGGGTCATCTCGGATGAAAAAGTAGGTCACCGGAGCTAAAAATAGAAAAACCTTGTTAACACTCTAGCGGTCACATTTTTGCATCAATCATCATCAAACTTTGTCAGGAAGCTTGTCTAAGTGATAGCTTGGATGAGTTCGAACATGGGTCATATCGGATGAAAAAGTAGGTCACTGGAGCTAAAAGTAGAAAAACCTTGTTAACACTCTAGCGGTCACATTTTTGCCCTCAATCATCATCAAAACTTGGTCAGGATGCTTATCAAGGTGATAGCTTGGATGAGTTGAACATAGGTAATCCTTGATGAAAAACTAGGTCACCTGAGCTAAAAATAGAAAAACCTTGTTAACACTCTAGAGGTCACAATTTTGCCTCAATCATCATCAAACTTGGTCAGGATGTTTTTCTAGGTGATAACTAGGATGAGTTCGAAAATTGGTCATCTCGGATGAAACACTAGGTCACAGGAGCTAAAAATGGAAAATCTTGTGAACACTCTAGTGGCTACTGTTTTGATCCAAATATCCTGTAAATTGGTCTGAAAGTTTGTTTTGATGATTTCTAAGTCAAGTTCGAACATGGGTCATCTTGGATGAAAAACTAGGTCACACCGCCCAAATATGGAAAAACATTGTTAACATTCTAGTGGTCACATTTTCTACTCAATTATCATCAAACTTGGTCAGGATGCTTGTCTAGGTACACCGTAATTGCTCGGATGAGTTCGAAATTGCATGTGAAACTAGGTCACCGGAGCTAAAAATAGAAAAATCTTGTTAACACTCTACTCGCTACTGTTTTGATCCAAGTATCCTGGAAATTGGTCTGAAAGTTTGTTTTGATGATTTCTAGGTCAAGTTTGAATATGGGTCACCTGGGTAAAAAACTAGGTCACACTGCTCAAATATGGATAATCCTTGTTAACACTGTAGTGGTCACATTTTTGACTCGCCTGTCATGAGACTTGGTCAGAATGCTTGTCTAGGTAATTGTTTGGATGAGTTTGATGGGTCAGGTGAGCGATCTAGGGCCATCATGGCCCTCTTGTTTTATTAATCTTTCAGTCTGAAAACCTTTCACTGCCAGGTACCTGTTATATTGTATTGTCAGAGAAGTTTTTATTATATGATGTTTTTATGCCACCGCAGCATCTGCGATGCGGTGGCATATAGCGATTCACCTGTGTGTGTGTTTGTTTGTGTGTGTGTGTGTTATATAGATTATATAGTGAACTTAAAAAATCTTCTTGTGAAAAACCAATAGTCCAATTTCAACCAAACTTGGCAGGATTGATCCTTGGGTGAAGGGCTTCCAAAGTTGTTCAAAGAATTTCATTCCATGCAGAAATCTGGTTGCCATGGCAACCAAAAGGAATTATAAGAACAAATTTAAAAAATCTTCTTGTAAAGACCCAAAAGGCCTAGAGCTTAGATATTTTGCATAAGGCATTGTCTGGTAGACCTCTACCAAGATTGTTCAAATTATAGCCCTGGGGTCAAAATCGGCCCCGCCCCGGGGTCATTGATTTTCACTATATGTACATATAGTAAAAACTTAAAATACCTTATTGTAAAGACCCAAATAGCCTAGAGCTTAGATATTTTGCATAAGGCATTGTCTGGTAGACCTCTACCAACATTGTTCAAATTATAGCCCTGGGGTCAAAATAGGCCCCGCCCCGGGTCATTGTTATATAGATTATATAGTGAACGTAAAAAATCTTCTTGTGAAAAACCAATAGTCCAATTTCAACCAAACTTGGCAGGATTGATCCTTGGGTGAAGGGCTTCCAAAGTTGATCAAAGAATTTCATTCCATGCAGAAATCTGGTTGCCATGGCAACCAAAAGGAATTATAAGAACAAATTTAAAAAATCTTCTTGTAAAGACCCAAAAGGCCTAGAGCTTAGATATTTTGCATAAGGCATTGTCTGGTAGACCTCTACCAAGATTGTTCAAATTATAGCCCTGGGGTCAAAATCGGCCCCGCCCCGGGGTCATTGATTTTCACTATATGTACATATAGTAAAAACTTAAAATACCTTATTGTAAAGACCCAAATAGCCTAGAGCTTAGATATTTTGCATAAGGCATTGTCTGGTAGACCTCTACCAACATTGTTCAAATTATAGCCCTGGGGTCAAAATAGGCCCCGCCCCAGGTCATTGTTATATAGATTATATAGTGAACGTAAAAAATCTTCTTGTGAAAAACCAATAGTCCAATTTCAACCAAACTTGGCAGGATTGATCCTTGGGTGAAGGGCTTCCAAAGTTGTTCAAAGAATTTCATTCCATGCAGAAATCTGGTTGCCATGGCAACCAAAAGGAATTATAAGAATAAATTTAAAAAATCTTCTTGTAAAGACCCAAAAGGCCTAGAGCTTAGATATTTTGCATAAGGCATTGTCTGGTAGACCTCTACCAAGATTGTTCAAATTATAGCCCTGGGGTCAAAATCGGCCCTGCCCCGGGGTCATAATGATTTTCACTATATGTACATATAGTAAAAACTTAAAATACCTTATTGTAAAGACCCAAATAGCCTAGAGCTTAGGTATTTTGCATAAGGCATTGCCTGGTAGACCTCTACCAAGATTGTTCAAATTATAGCCCTAGGGTCAAAATTGGCCCCGCCCCGGGGGTCATTGATTTTCACTACATGTACATATAGTAAAAACTTTAAATACCTACTTGTAAAGACCCAAAAGGCCTAGAGCATAAGGCATTGTGTTGTAGACCTCTACCCAGATTGTTCAAATTATAGCCCTGGGGTCAAAATCGGCCCTGCCCCGGGGGTCATTGGTTTTCGTATATATGTATATAGTAAAAACTTTAAAAAAATTTCTTCTAGCAATTGACAAATGCTAGAGGTTAGATATTTTGCATGAAACATTGTGTAGTGAACCTCTAGCAAGATTGTTCAAATTATAGCCCTGGGGTCAAAATTGCCCCCGCCCCGGGGGTCATTGATTTTCAATATATACATATAGTAAAAAATATAAAAATCTTATTGTCTGTAGGTACAAGGTACAAGGCTTCAAAAACTTAAAATACCTTCTTGTAAATGCCCAAAAGGCCTAGAGCTTAGGTATTAATGCGGTGGCATAGCATTTTTCTCAAATGCAATCTTGTTGTAAACACCTTTTGACTGAGGGGTTGCCTTTAAGGGTTGAGGCATCAGAAAAAAACTTTCATTCAAGAGTGATTGTAAGAGGCAATTAAAGTGGGTTGGAATTACTTGGGGGAAAAAATGAAAAAAAAAACGCTTTCAAAATAATAGTGACAGTCAGTTAAAATATAACTTTTATTTCTTGTTTCTAAGTAAAAATAAATGTCAACCTTTACTATACCTTTGTGAAAAAGTTTTAGTAACCTCTCAATTGTTTTTCTTTACAGACAAATGTGGCTAAACCCTGGCGAGGTGGACCCAGACTCCTAGGAAAAAATAGTGTCAGAATGTATCTCATAACTCTGCATCACTAAATCAACCCATTCATTCATAAATCATCATTAGACAGTGCAGTGTCTTTCCAGTGTAGTTGTTGAGAGCCTATACATCTCATTTAACTATACATCTCATTTAACTAAAGGTTGATGCTAAGAACTGGTTTGTATACAAAATAATGAACAGAAGGCTGTCTTGGGTTTTTTCTCTTTGTAAAGTTGGAAATTCACCTAAAGATCTTTAGATAAAGCACAGACGGGAGCCTTGGGTTTTCCCTCTTTGTAAGGTTGGACATATACCTGAAGATCTTAAAATAATGCACAGAAGGGTGCCTTTCGTTCTCCTCTTTGTAAAGTTGGAAATTTTCCGAAAGATCTTAATAGTACTAGTGTTGCCCAACCATCTTAAAGGAGGAAAACAGATCATCATGGTAATATATTACCTTTAGGTCAATAGTTGATGTTTACTTGTCATATTTTTCTTATATATATAAAAACTGATAAATAATAGAAATATTGTTGACATATCTCTTTCATTTTTGAAGATCATTCATAAATGCTATATTTTTGTCAAAATGTAGTTCAAATTATTGGAAAATGGTAAAAATTGATTATGACTTTTCTAACACTGATTATTCTTAACCCTTGTGTTTTGAAAGTTAGCTCAGAAAGTAGTGTAATATATATATATAAGAAAATGAATCTGCAATTCTGTCTCAAGAAATATTTATGTTTTTGTTCAAAGTATGTACAATTATAATGTAATGTTAAAACTTATATAATAATATGTTTATGTCTTGTTTTAGATTGGGTTATATTATTAGATTGTGAAAACCTTGTTTTGTTTCTTAAAAATTTTATGTGAAGTCTAATACTGCAAAATCATTATTTTTATACCCCCGCACAACAAAGTTGTAAGGGGGGTATACTGGAATCAGCTTGTCCGTCCGGCCGTCCGGCTCTCCGGCCGTCCGGCCGTCCATCGGTTTTTTCTTGTCCGCCCAATAACTTGAGATTCCTTTGACCCTTAGTCTTCATATTTGGCATTGAGGTTAGTCATGATAAGTAGATGACCCCTATTGATTTTGAGGTCACTAGGTAAAAGGTCAAGGTCACAGGGGCCTTGACTTCAAAAAGCTTGTCCGCCCAATAACTTAAGATTCCTTTGACCTACAGTCGTCATATTTAGCATGGAGGTAAGTCATGATTAGTAGATGACCCCTATTGATTTTGAGGTCACCAGGTCAAAGGTCAAGGTCACAGGGGCCTTGACTTCAAAAAGCTTGTCCGCCCAATAACTTTAGATTCCTTTGACCCATAGTCTTCATATTTTGCATTGAGGTTAGTCATGATTAGTAGATGACCCCTATTGATTTTGAGGTCACCAGGTCAAAGGTCAAGGTCACAGGGGCCTTGACTTCAAAAAGCTTGTCCGCCCAATAACTTAAGATTCCTTTGACCCACAGTCTTCATATTTGGCATTGAGGTTAGTCATGATTAGTAGATGACCCCTATTGATTTTGAGGTCACCAGGTCAAAGGTCAAGGTCACAGGGGCCTTGACTTCAGAAAGCTTGTCCGCCCAATAACTTTAGATTCCTTTGACCCATAGTCTTCATATTTTGCATTGAGGTTAGTCATGATTAGTAGATGACCCCTATTGATTTTGAGGTCAAAGGTCAAGGTCACTGGGGCCTTGACTTCAAAAAGCTTGTCTGCCCAATAACTTTAGATTCCTTTGACCCATAGTCTTCATATTTTGCATTGAGGTTAGTCATGATTAGTAGATGACCCCTATAGATTTTGAGGTCACCAGGTCAAAGGTCAAGGTCACAGGGGCCTTGACTTCAAAAAGCTTGTCCACCCAATAACTTAAGATTCCTTTGACACACAGTCCTCATATTTGGCATGGAGGTTAGTCATGATTAGTAGATGACCCCTATTGATTTTGAGGTCACCAGGTCAAAGGTCAAGGTCACAGGGGCCTTGACTTCAAAAAGCTTGTCCGCCCAATAACTTAAGATTCCTTTGACCCACAGTCTTCATATTTGGCATGGAGGTTAGTCATGATTAGTAGATGACCCCTATTGATTTTGAGGTCACCAGGTCAAAGGTCAAGGTCACAGGGGCCTTGACTTCAAAAAGCTTGTCCGCCCAATAACTTAAGATTCCTTTGACCCACAGTCTTCATATTTGGAATGGAGGTTAGTCATGATTAGTAGATGACCCCTATTGATTTTGAGGTCACCAGGTCAAAGGTCAAGGTCACAGGGACTTTGACTTCAAAACGTTTGTCTGCCCAATAACTTTAGATTCCTTTGACCCACAGTCTTCATATTTGGCATGGATGTTGATCATGACTATAAGGTGACCCCTATTGATTTTGAGGTCACTGGGTCAAAAGTCAAGGTCACAGGGACCTTGACAAAAAAAAAGCTTTTCTTCTCATTTGCTAAAGAATGTCCTGTCCGCAATGTATTGATTTTGACATTTTCACATTTGAAGCATGTAGAATACATAATTTAGCAATGCACTGGCTTAGTAACCTCAGATTTGGCAGGGAGGTTGTCCTTGAGCTCTAAATGGCCACTGTTGATTCTGACAAAGTGGTATGCGGGGGTATTCACGCCATGATAGTGGCAGTTCTAGTTTGTGGAGAACTAATTTCCGTGGTTTTCATTAATATTTAATATCCAACGAAATTTTCCTGTCATCTGCTGTAAGATTATATTGCATTGCATTATTTACATTATACTTTTTTAAGAAAATAAACAGTCCACAAATTTAAGAACCCACAAAATTTGTTCTTTGTGACAAAACCACGAAATTTCATCCCCACTAATAAATTAAGTGAATTCACAAAACTTGTTTCATTGATAAAAAAAATTGGTAAGAAGGAAAAATACCTGAAAAAATTGCTGGGCTTTTTGCGAAAAGAATCATTTTATGCTGGATTTTACCGTGGCAGACAAATAAAACTCAGTGGTCTTTTAAGGCATTTTTTTTTGTATCCAGCTTTTATGATTTGGGTTTTTCAATGCATTATTGACTGTTTTGTATTAGAAATTTATTTTAATGCAAGAAATGTTTCAACCATTTTATTGTATGTATCACGTTTCTCATGTCATTTGTCATCGAATATCAAAATGTGTAGCTAAATTATACCTGCGGCTCCTGAATGTCAAGGGTACAAGCTTGACATGGTATATGATTATGCTTCTTCACAGGGTTCGTACAGTCTTAAATGGGCTTAAATTTGAGACCCTTTCTTAGATAGTGCTTAAAAAATGATAAAAAGTGCTTAAAAAGTCCTTGAATTTTGGCACTGGATGTCTGTACAAACCCTGCTTCATGTTACACCAGTTCTGATTAATCCAGGATGCTGATTCTAGAGTAATTGAAATAAATTTACAACATAAATTATAATTATTGATATTAAAATTATTAAATTTATTAAGTTTATACCAAAAAAAAAAATTGTAAAGTTATAAATATATATAACTACATAAATATACATGTATTTGCAAATGCATGAGTTAATTAACATTGTATCCATTAAAAATATAGAATCTTCATACGACTTGCATCAATAATATTGTTGTGGCAGTAAAACAATTTTCTTTGTCAAGTGTTAGAAATATTTTTGCTTACTATTGTAAGATCTGAATATGTTCTTGTCTGTGATGTATACTGTATTAGACACACGTGTTGTGATTTACTTGTTAGCAATTGATTGTTGTATGATATGCCCTGGAATTAAATAATTGATGACTTGGGAAGAGTCATCTTCATTCTATTACTTGACCTTTGATGATATTTTCCTGAGAAATGCCAGAAATTCATTTTGGTTTATTGAAATTTGACAAATACCCAAAAATGTGCTTTACTTTCAAGATGGAATTTTTGAAATTTCAGGAAAAGTCCATTAAAGATGTTTAGCTAGGTATTATGGATTAAGGATGAAGCATTGGGTTTTATAAGCTTATTTTATTTCATGGATTATTTATTGCCAGTATTATATCTATGTTGTGTTGAATCTTTTATTTCCTTTATGTTTTTGTTGGGTTTTTTTTTTTCTTTAAAAATGTTATATGATTGTATAAGTACGTGTACTTGAGTTTTACTCTTGTCCCCTTGTTTTTGTAAACATGTATGGTGATGTGATTCCTGCTAGCAATTTCTCTCTTGTGTTGTTATTATTATTATTACATGTATTATTTTTCATTGCAAAAACTATCTTTGCATAGAGAACTGTTTTGTTGACCTTTTGGACACAATATATCACAATTTTCCTGAGGTAAGAAGCAGGGGATGGACTACATGTATACACAAGTTAATATGCAATAACATGTCCTCTGTAGTTACTGACAAGATTTTTCATGTGACTTTTTTTTTCAAAGAAGTCTTGGATTTTATAGTAAATCACGTTGAGGATTATCTGCGACTATATAAACATTGATTGAACTAAATGTTGTGTGATTTGTGTACAGTAAATAAATGTTTTAACATTTTTGGGAAAAAAAAAAACAACCAAAGACTGTTTAGCAAAGATACAATTTGGTATAATTTTGTAAACAAGTTGGTATAAATTTTATTGGTAAAAACTATTTTGTTTACAAATTGGTATAAAAGTTATTGGCAAGTACACTTTTATAATCAAATTTGTATTGAAAGTTTAACAGTTATGTATGTTAGTGTGTTTATAACATAAACTTGTTTTTCTCACACTGTTAGGGTATGGTTTTATTTTGATATAACAAGGTGCTGTATATTTATATGTTGGAGTGCTTCACTACGTGGTAGATTTGTTAGGTATATGATATTTGAAGATAACACTGTTTTTTTATGTTCACAAATTCTAGTTAAATGTTATATTGTTGAAGGTGTATCTTTTGAAATAAACACTTGACCTAAAATAAACACTTAACCTGAAATAAACACTTAACTTGTTGGACTTGAAAGTGATCAGCATTTATCATCAGTCAAGAGCCAGGCCAGCCTGGGTGTCCCTGCACTATTACCAGGCTGTGGCTGACCAACATTTTTTTTTTATCTTGATGCCCCCCAAAACTGATAATGGTCAGTTTCAATCATGAAGGCGGACAAGTCCACTAAAGAAATACAGAAGGGTTAGGGTTTAAGATTTGATGTGTTGACAGTATGGGTTGATTCTGTAAGGTAAATATTTGGCACTCTGACTCGAATTATTGGATAAATTGACTTTGTATGAATTGAATATATATGTAAGTACTGAGGTTTTGTTAATGAAATCAAAGGTTATTGTACATGAAATTTTTTTTGAAATCATTTCATTTTAACTTTTACAATGCTGAATTTGTGTACTGTAATAGACTTTTTTCCCTGCTTTGAACTTTTTAACAATGTATTAGTTGTTAAAAGAATTATTAATTATCGCAACCTTTTAAGTCATCAGAATATAACCTGGTCAATTTGAACAGATTTACAGGCTAACCTGGCTTTATACAAAGGTTTTGCAGTTTGTATTATTGCATGATTAGTTCATCAGGTTACAAATAATTGATGTTCAAAAGTAGATTTTTAAAGTAGTGTCTTGGATCTCATTTGAAATGTTCATTCATTATAATAATGTTAATTGATAACTTTGGAAACTTAAGGTTTTCTAAGTACAGGATATGAATTCTAGAAATTATTGAAACTGTATGATGTGACAAATTTATAAACGACTAGAAAGGTATGCAGGCTGGCCTGCTTCTATATAGTGGTTAAACAAATTAATATGAGCCTCTTCACGACAAAACTAACGTAATGCGTTTGCGACCAGCATGGATCCAGACCAGCCTGTGCATCGGCGCAGTCTGATCAGGATCCATGCTGTTCGTATCAGTTTCTCTACTTGTAATAGGGTTTTTAAGCGAACAGCATGGATCCTGATCAGACTGCGCGAATGCGCAGGCTGGTCTGGATCCATGCTGGTCGCAATAGCATTACTTTGGTTTTGTCATGACGCGGCTCATATGTATACTAAGGTTCCCAAGGAATGATTAGAATGCTGTTGTTTTTTTTCCCATAAAGGTATTCACGGAATTGCAAGACTTACAAGTTCATCTCTATATATTTGCTGGGGATAGAGTTTAGTTTGGCGGACCCCTGAAATAAACAACTGTTCATGAATAATATGCTTTTATCCTGTTCAGATGTGTATTTCTGAATGTAGTTGTTGTTTTTAGAAATGAATATGTAAAACAGCAGGGCTGTGGGGGCAACAGACACAAATAAAAGCAAGTACATATATATTAATATTGTTTATCTTCTGGGGTCGGCTAAACTGGAAAGTGTTCCCTTTGCAGGACTAGTCTCCCTCTTAAGAAACAAACTGAATACTAGTATATAAAGGTGGATTGTAGATCTTTAAAAATCTAGCTGTGTTTACTTGGCTATGTTTGTTAAACTTTTTTAAGCCTGATTTTAAGACAGGATTTTGTTGTTTTGGGTTTTTGTTTTGTTTTTTTTTTTTCAAAATTTTATTTGCTTTCAGACGTTTTTTGCTTTGCATAGTTATTTTGATACTTCACATGCAGTGCCATTCAATAAATCTTACTCCATGTTTTTTAACAAAAATATTTATTTTATCAAGTTTTGAATTATGTATCAAACATAATTGAATTGTTCAAAGTTTAGAAGCTTCCTTTGTATTTATTTAAGAGGGTAATTACTAACCTGCAAATGACTCCAAAGAGGAGTATATCATAAGGAAAAAATTTACTTTGACTAAGGACCTCTAAAAAACAGAATTTGTTAATGCTTTTGCATAGATTTTTTATTTACTTTTTATTTTACAAGAATTTATTATTAATTTATTGTATTCTATTTATAGATCTAGACTGTCTTGCAGCTTTTATTGAGAGAAATCCGTCCATGAACTATATGAACTATTGCTATGAACTATTGCTATAAACTTTTGCTATGCAATACAATGTCTTTTTATATTTTAGATGATTATTTTTTTGTTTTTACGTGACTTCATATGTATTGCACCATTGTGATATATTTGTTGTGAATTTAACATGAAATAAAAGTAGAATTTGTCACACATCTCAATTTGTTATTGTCATACATCTGTATACAGGGATGATCAGAATAATGTTGACAACTCTAAGCTTCTGTTATTGACCTTATAGACAATTTTTATTCCTCTCTCCCCAGTCTGGCGTATATTTACTGAACCTGTCCGTCTGTTAAACTTATTATTTATTATACCCCCAAAAACGAAGTTTGGGGGGGTATATAGGAGTCACCCGGTGGTCGGTTGGTCGGTCGGGCGGTCGGTCGGTCGGTCGGTCCAGACGTCCGTTGCATTTTCCTTGTCCGGAGCATAACTTGAAAACTAATGGTTGGAATTCAATATAACTACATACAATGGTCAAGCACATTGAGAGGAAGTGCAGTGCACAAGAACCATAACTCTATCTTGACTAATTACAGAGTTATTGCCCTTTGTTACTTTTCCTTGTCCGGGGCATAACTTGAAAACTACTGGTTGGAATTCAAAACAACTTCATACAATTGTCAAACACAATAAGGGGAAGTGCAGTGCACAAGAACCATAACTCTATCTAAAGTAATTACAGAGTTATTGCCCTTTGTTGCTTTTCCATTGCTTTTTTTTTTGTCCGTTGCATTTTCCTTGTCCGGAGCATAACTTGAAGACTAATGGTTGGAATTCAATATAACTACATACAATGGTCAAGCACATTGAGAGGAAGTGCAGTGCACAAGAACCATAACTCTATCTTGACTAATTACAGAGTTATTGCCCTTTGTTACTTTTCCTTGTCCGGGGCATAACTTGAAAACTACTGGTTGGAATTCAAAACAACTTCATACAATTGTCAAACACAATAAGGGGAAGTGCAGTGCACAAGAACCATAACTCTATCTAAAGTAATTACAGAGTTATTGCCCTTTGTTGCTTTTCCATTGCCTTCTTTTTTTTGTCCGGACCATAACTTGAAAACTAATGGTTGGAATTCAATATAACTACATACAATGGTCAAGCACATTGAGAGGAAGTGCAGTGCATAAGAACCATAACTCTATCTAAAGTAATTACAGAGTTATTGCCCTTTATTACTTTTCCATTGCTTTCTTTTGTCCGGACCATAACTTGAAGACTAATTGTTGCAATTTATTATAACTTCATACAATGGTCCAGCACATTGAGAGGAAGTGCAGTGCACAAGAACCATAACTCCATTTTGACTTATTACAGAGTTACTGCCCTTTGTTTCTTTTCCTTGTCCAGAGCATGACTTTAAAACTACTGGTTGGAATTCAAAACAACTTCATACAATGGCCAAGCACAATAAGGGGAAGTGCAGTGCACAAGAACCATAACTCCATCTTGACTAATTACAGAGTTATTGCCCTTTGTTACTTTTCCATTGCTTTCTTTTGTCCGGACCATAACTTGAAGACTTATTGTTGGAATTCATTATAACTTCATACAATGGTCAAGCACATTGAGAGGAAGTGCAGTGCATAAGAACCATAACTCCATCTTGACTAATTACAGAATTACTGCCCTTTGTTACTTTTCCTTGTCCAGAGCATGACTTGAAAACTACTGGTTGGAATTCAAAACAACTTCATACAATGGTCAAGCACAATAAGGGGAAGTGCAGTGCACAAGAACCATAACTCCATCTTGACTAATTACAGAGTTATTGCCCGTAGTTACTTTTCCTTGTCCAGAGCATAACTTGAAAACTACTGTTTGGAATTCAGTACAACTTCATACAGTTGTCAAGGACATTAAAAGGAAGTGCAGTGCACAAGAGCCATAACTCCATTTTGACAAAATACAGAGTTACTGCCCTTTGATACTTTTCCTTGTCCGGAGCATAACTTAAAACATACTGGTTGGAATTCAAAACAACTTCATACAATGGTCAAGCACAATAAGAGGAAGTGCAGTGCACAAGAACTATAACTCTATCTTCAGTATTTATAGAGTTATTGCCCTTTGTTCTTTTTCTTTGTCTTTCTGGACTTATTACAGAGTAATTCAATTAAACTTCATCAATGGCCAACCACATTGAAAGGAAATGCAACATACATGAACCACAATTATCTTTAATTGCTCACAACCATAACTCTATGTTTCAATTCTATTATAAGGTATTCTGTTACTAGTAACATCCTCATTTCCGAAGCAGACTTGTGGGGGTATTAATCACATTTAGTGATAGTTCTAGTTAAGTTAGTCAAGTGCCCGCTCTTACCTAGAATTAATGGTAAAAGGTTAACGTGAGGTCTTCCTCGACCAGTAAACCTGGAAAAGTCACTTCTGTGTTGGTGCGATGTTGAATCCGAGCAGAAAAATACCAAAAGGTCTATCTGTTTACATATACTAGTAGTGAATGATCTCTGTAAGATACATGACTGAGTCACTAAATTGGTATGGTTAACCTATTTCGGAAAGTTGGATATCTGTTCCAATTGCTTCAAAAATAAACACGAATACAAAGGCCATATTGTTAGTAATTTTCATGTTTTTTCCTACAGTTGTTTCCCTTTGCACATATAAAACTGAATACATGTATGTTGAAAATTAGTTTCACATTATACCTTTAGTATAGCCTCTACAGAGCGGCCTCTCTATAGAGCAATTACCTCTTTACAACAACAATATCATTTCTTCCCAAAGTTATGATTTTCACTATATTTTACCTCTGTAGAGCAAAACCTCTATATAACAACCAAAAGTTTGTCTCCCGAAGGAAGTTGCTCTACAGAGGTTATACTGTATTTACAAACCAATACAAATATTGTGTAAAATTCGGTTTCTTCTAGTTTTCATGTTATCCCCCTGATCAAATATTAAACACGCCCTTTGACAATATCAACAAATACTTTTTTATGTGCAAGCAAAACTGATTTACCCATAAATGAAATAATATTCATAGTATTAAACTGCTGTATTTTTATTGTGATATGTAAGTATTAATTCAAGTAAAGCTTTGAGGCTTGGAATACTATTTTTAACCGACTTTGAAGTCATTCTACCGTTGTTTACTATCAATTTAACGATTGACTAACAGCAAATCTCCCACTTGTTCTATTTACAATTATCCGTATATTTACAAATTCCTTATTGATTTACAATATTCGAAAAACTTAACAACGCTCAAGCTGAAATGAAAGGATACGGAAATTTACCAAGAACTTTGAACCAGTTATGCATTACCGACTGTCGGAATAGACCCTTTTATTGTGACAGGATACTTATTGTCAGATTCACAACAGAAAACGACAAATTCGATTTGTACGTGTATATAAATCCTCATGTTTGTGTTTGCCCGAGTGAAATTTAAAGAATGTGCAATCAATTGCTTGTCATTAACAGACATGAAAAATTAATGAATGGGTCACATTAGGGACACAAATCTTGATAATATACTAGTTATATAGGTTTGAAGAGTACAATCTCGTTGTTCCCAGCAATTTAATGAAATACTGACAATTTGTTTGTAATTCTAACAGAATACAGATATTCGGACTCAGGTATCCTGATATTATGGTGGCTAATTTGGAACGCTTTTGTGCGTCGTGTTGGCGCTAGTGACGACACGACAAAGCGCCAAATGGCGCGTTGTCGGACTTTCGTCTTGTCGTCCTGTCGCTAACGATGCACGCCAAATGTCGCATTATCGTGCAGCGTGTTGTCGTGATGTCACATTGTCGCTCGGTTCAAATCGAAGGATTGGCTTATAATCAAAGCAACAAGGCGACATCGCTACAACGCGCCGCACGACAAGAAGACGACAGTGCAACAGCGCGTCGTTTGACGCTTTGTCGTGTAGTGTGCCAAATCAGCCACCATAGTTTTCCATAGAAAACGAAGGCAAACGTGTACAATCGGCCTTCACCGAAGTTTGACGGAAAAGGCCGAGAAGTTGCGATTGGATAAGTTACAGTTTAGTGTTTTCGACCTTTCATATGTTTGAAAATATGCACATGTACAAATTTATCACTGTGTTAAATGTTATTTAAAAAAAAAAGACATTTACCTGAATTAGTACGATGACTCATTATTAATTGAATGACAGTTGACAGATCTTTAAATGATTGGTAAAGACATCAAAGGTGTGACGTGTGACATTTGAAAAACAATTTAAATAGTTCATTTATCTATTTTAAAGATAATAGATAAAAATATCAAAAGAGTAATGATATTCCTCGCGCAATAATGCGCATGTTACACCTTTTTGTAACAATATTTTCAACAAAGAAATAACGCCTGACGTACCATTTATGATTATTTAGTACATCAAAAGAAAAGATGCAAACGTAACACATGTACAACCTGGAACGCATTAAC